AAAACGTTTCTTACATACCATTATATTGGCTGGGCCCCAAAAATATTTGTTGTGGGCCGCATGCGGCCTGTGGGCCGCAAGTTTGATATATTTGTGTGTGAAAACAATTGACCAAACAGAGCCCCCGCACCTTTTTATTTTTAAAAAAGAAGCTAATTTAGATACTGCAATAATTAGTCATTATTCCAATAGTTGTATATTTACCCTTTATGCTTCCAATAAATTTAAAAATTATTAAATAATTAAGTTAAGATTTTCTTTAATTTTGTCAACACAAAAACCATATTGGTTTTCTTTATTCTATCTGACATATTTCTAGTATTAAACTTGCTTTATTATGATAACATCTTCCTCTACAAAATCCTCTATACCCTTTGATCTATTACTACCACTGCACTCACTCCTTGATACCCAGGTCTCTTCCCAGTTAGAAAAAAAAGTTCCCAAATTTTTATTTTAGTTTTTATTGAAACGCTACCAAGACCCTGATCCCGTTTCTTCTCTTTCTAATTAGCTGGGATAGGAGAAAATTGGGGTAATTAGAAAGGGTGTCTTTCACATCTTACCATGTATACATTTTTATTAAATGAAATCTTTAAAGGATGATTTTGTTAGAGCAGGCAGATAGAAAGATATGAGCTGGGAGAGGCTGGGAGAGGCAGCTAGGCTTGGAGGAATTCAGTGATATGACAAACTGAAAATAGACAATGGAGGTAGTGGACCCCTCTGTGTGCAGGAAAGATTCAGAGCCCCCCAGGAAGTGGTCTAAATGATGGCTTACCACCTAGATGGAGTCTTATAACTTAGAGATACTTTTTTTTTTTAAATATATGAGGGTGGGGATAACTTGTTTCCTGCCTAGGGGGCTCAAGCCTAGAGGTATAAATCATTTAAACTCTCAAATATCGAGGCACTCGGCTCAGTTTTGCCAGCTTTCCTACAAGTAAATCCTTGCCTGCTTTTGCTGTTATTTGTTGTCTCTTGTTTGAATTTATTCCTATGAGCAAGACAACTGGGAGTGCAGAGTACTCCCTCTGGCCTGAGGCAGAGACCCTCTTGTTCACCACTGACAATTCCCCTTTCTTCAAATAAAACATTATTAAGCTCTATAATTATTGAAGCTTATATCAGTCAAAATTCCAATCTAACTTTACCCATTGTTTCATTTTCTTAATTTCTAAGTGAATGAAATAAATTAGTTACGTATTGTTTTCAAACCTCAGACATTTTTCAGATTTCATAGAAATTGTTCCTTTGAAATCGTTTTGAGTACTCTCATTCAATTCATGTCTTTTGAACCCATTACCTAAACAGATAATAGTTGACTATCAATTCTTGATATCATTGATCCTCTTTAGGTGTTTTTTTTTTTTTTTAAAGCCTCTCAAACCTAAGAATTTGAGAAAATATTCCCAAATGGCTGACCCTTTAGTATCTTACTGCTTGTTCATTTTTACCACTTTCCGGGGTACATTTTTATTTTTAGTCTTCTGCAGTAAGTCTTAGAGGTCAGCCAGCAATCTAAGTAGAAACACACAGATACCTCCCATTCTTGCCTGTCTATACTATTGCTCACTTGATCTCCCCTATTGTAATTTGTTACATTGTAAGTAGCAAAAGACAGGTACAGATTTTACATTATGCCTAAAGTCCCCCTTACCTTAGCTTGTAAATTATGCTCTCATCTAGGGCATTTCTACACACTGACAATTGGAAATTTAGCAATCACGGGGAAGACAGAAGTCTCAGCGCACAGGCCAAGGTGGCAGTGGCAGTGGCAGCTGAAAGGCAGCTTTGTATCCCGCCTGCCCTTTGAAAAGCAGAGCCAAATCTAGGTCATTGCATTCAGCAGGGAGCCTGGAAACACCTTCCAAGTTCGTGCTGCACCAAGACGAGTGTCTTTTGACCTAGTTTTGCACAAGGGAGATGCAAGGCTGCCAGGCTATGGAAGCTGTGAGTGTTGGATCTCTGCCTTTCTGTTGCTAGAAGGATTCTTGCAATGTAAGTTTCAGGATTTGTTTCTTTCCAAGAAACAGTAAGGTGGTTGTGTTTGCTGCTCTTGACTGGGAGGCCACGATCTTTTGCTACTGTTTCAGGTTGCATGCCAATTGAAGTTGACCAATATGATCTCAGTTCCCCGTCAGCTGACTCGACTTGCTTCTTCCTGCCGCTAGTCCTCTGACCTCCCTTTTCTTTGAGGGTTTGCTTTAGAAAAACCTGTAAATGTAAATTCGTTCTTTACTCCTTTGAGATGTGAATACTTTAAAAAAGGCTCTTGACAGTTTTCCCATCCAGAAATGTTTTTTCTCAAAGCCATCCCTTTGAAATGCCAACATCAAGGGAGAGAGCACCAGTCTCTCAGTTTTGTGAGAGACCAGGAGCATAACTGGAATGAGCTCCTTGCTTTAAGTTGGAAAACTACCTTCTGTCGCAAAGATAGGAGGGACGTTACTTTTCCTTTAGAAACAGCCAATTAGCAAAAACAGATGGCTGTGTTCTCTCCCGCCTGAGCACTTTAAAATTCTCCCCTCCACCCTTTGTTCCTGCAGAATTATTTTTTTATTTTAAATTAAATTCATTGGGGTGACGTTGGTTAATGAAGTTATATAGGTTTCAAGCGTACATTTCTATAATACACCACGGGCACATTGCCTTGTGTGTTTATCACCCAAAGGCAAAGCACCTGCCGTCACCATGTAGGTGACACCTTTACCTTTGCTACCCCCACCCTTCTTCCCTCTGATAACTTCCGTGCTGTGTGTCAATGAGTTTTTGCTTGTTTGTTTTTCTTGTTTGTTCATTTATTGCTTTCAGTTTTATATTTCCCATAAGAGTGAAATCATATGGTTCTTGCCCTTTTCTGTCTGACTTATTTCCCTTAGTGTGGTAAGTAAACATTCAGTTCTGGTCCCCCTCCCCGATTACAACAGCCGTCAATAAAGCTTACCTGCTTAACTTTGTCCAGAGCAAATATTCGCTTTGACAAAACATAATTTTAACATTACGGAGACTGGGAAAACGTCTGTCTTCACATCACATTGCTGCTTTAAGATTCAGCATCGAAAGCAGGCGCATTTTTGTTTTCAAAGAGGCTTCATTGACTGAGTGTTAAATTTGGTATTAACAAGGTTCTCTCTATGATAAGCCAAATCCTCAAAGAAAATAGATTCCCACTAGTTCCAAGGTCTTTTGTTTTAAGAGGCAGATCTTTAAACACCATATCTTGTTTCTCTGTGACCAGAAATATTGAAAAATGCAGCTCCTTAACCTAGGGTCCTGATACTTTGATAATCAGGCCACTTTCTTCCTTTCTTCCTCTCTCTCTCTCTCTCTCTCTCTCTTCCTTCCTTTCTTTCGTTCTTTCCTTCTCTCTCTTTTTTTATACCTGCTTAACTTTGTCCAGAGCAAATATTCGCTTTGACAAAACATAATTTTAAAATTACGGAGACTGGGAAAACGTCTGTAGTCCCATCACATTTCTGCTTTAAGATTCAGCATCGAAAGCAGGTGCATTTTTGTTTTCAGAGAGGCTTCATTGACTGAGTGTTAAATTTGGTATTAACAAGGTTCTCTCTATGATAAGCCAAATCCTCAAAGAAAATAGATTCCCACTAGTTCCAAGGTCTTTTGTTTTAAGAGGCAGATCTTTAAACACCATATCTTGTTTCTCTGTGACCAGAAATATTGAAAAATGCAGCTCCTTAACCTAGGGTCCTGATACTTTGATAATCAGGCCACTTTCTTCCTTTCTTCCTCTCTCTCTCTCTCTCTCTCTCTCTTCCTTCCTTTCTTTCGTTCTTTCCTTCTCTCTCTTTTTTAATATAATCAATAGATCAGGCAAAATGAAACACATTCCATTCCTAAAATGTATCCACTCATACTATTTTCTTTTACTACTATCACAAGATTTTATTATAATGTCTCCTCTAATCTCATAAGTCTTGAAAAGCTATTAAAACCTTTTAAATGAATGTGAATCCTGATAATGCTCTGAGCAGGTTTTATGCTTTAACTCTCTCTTAACACTTAACATTATATCATATGTATTCCCTCATCTCTTTTCTCCACTTGGACCGTGGGATTCTGGAAGGGAAAGACATGGCTTACTCATTAGTTTATCTTCCAGAGATAGAGCTAATACTTGCACATTAAGTAACATTCAACAAATGTTTGCTAAATTAGCAAAACTATTTGCACTAAATTTTATAAGGGGCAAAGACCAATAGAAAATGTCAATATAAAGGATCAGAAAGAAATAAACAGATTTTAAATCTCATCATTTTCGCAATTCTATATATTTTCATTGTCTATTTCAAGTTTATAGAATCCACATTAAATGATCTATAAAGGTTTTAAAATTAAAATAATACATTGCAAAGAATAGTTATTTGAACACATCTATTTCAAAATGAAAGAAAATTAGAATCCATTTTTTGCTTCCTAATGTTTTAAATATGGACATAAACAAATTCTTATTTGATCATTAATGACATCTATGCTTCTCTTTTAAGTGCATCTATCTGCTATTTATTTTATAAGACAGTTTATTTTTTTTAACTGTTTAAAATTAATTTTAGAGTGAGAGAGGAAGGGATGGGGAGAGAGAGAAAAAATCATCCATGAGAAAGAACCATCAATTGGCTGTCTCTTGCACACCCCCCTACTGGGTATTAAGCTAGAAATCTGGGCATGAGCCCTGACTGGGAATCCAACCAGTAACCTTTTGGTGCATGGGGCGATGCTCAACCAACTGAGCCACACATGCCAGGGCATATGAGCCAGTTTACATTATTAGTGAAAGGAATTTGATATATGTATACATATATACACTTATAATTTCATTGACAAAAGTAGGTTGATTTTTCTCTATTAGTCTTTCAAATGGAAATAAATAAAGAAAATAAGAGCTGCAAGCTGTATTTTTCTTTAAATTTTAAAACCCTGTACTTAAATTCTAAAATCCACAAGACATCAGTGTGAAGCTTCATCTTTTACTGTACCTGTATATGCAAATTGTACAAGATCCCAGAGGGCATTGGGGTCTATGCCTTCCATCTTGATTTCCTCCTGCTTGGCTTCACAAACATCGCTTGTAAACATGGCAGCAAAATAGTCTGAGACTGAGCTCAGAACAAGCCTGAAAGAGTCAAAAGGTCTAATTTAGGGTGTGAATATAAAGCATCAAAATGCTAAGTGTCAACAACAATGGAGTGCAGAGCAACCTATTTATGTATCTATCTGTGTCTGTTTGCCTATCAATTACCTATATATCTCTGTATCTATCACCCATCAATTAATCTATAATTACCTTATGGATTGCACTTTTAAAAACTGATTTAGAAAATTCTGCTCTACCATTTCTAATACATTTTTCATTTTACTTTTAGTTCTTCTATTCTTTTAGATAGGAATCCAATTTTATTTCTTTTTACATACTCACCCACTTTTCACCACACTATCTACTAAAGAATTTGATTTGCTCAGTCAATTAATAGTGCTACATATATCATAAATTTAAGTGTAAAATCTGTAGTGACTTCTCTGAGATTTCTATTTTTTTTTGTTTATTTGCCCGTTCTTATACCAATAAAATATTCTTTTTATATGTATGATAAATATTTATAAATATAAACAGTACCGTGATTCTAAAGATGTCTTTATATCAAATTAGGCAAATCGTCCCTCTTTATTTTTGCTTAACTAGTAGTGGATTTAAAAATCATCATTTTATTGATTCCAGAGAAAGGAAGTGAGAGGGAGAAGAGAGAGAGAGAGAGAGAGAGAGAGAGAGAGAGAGAGAGAGAGAGAGAAACATTGATGTGAGAGAGAAACATAGATTTTGCCTCCTACACGTGCCCAAACAGGGGATGGAACCTGCAACCTAGGCATGTGCCTTGATTGGGAATCAAACCTGTGACCCTTTGATTTGATGCGCAGGATGACCCTCAACCAACTGAGCCACAGCGGCCACAGCATGGATTTTTATTCTGCATATAAAGTTTAAAGTAAGCTTGTCAAATATAATTTTAATTAAAATGCAGTACATTTCTGATTTTATATGTGAACTAGTAGCCTGGTACACAAAATTTGTGCACATTAAAAGGGAATTAATTAACGGAAATATTTTAATATTGCTATTTGCCTTTTCTCTATAATAGAAGTGTGAGAGATAAAAGGGAATTAGTAAAATGTATATGAAAATACATGTATATGAAATGTATATGAAAATGCATATAAATTTATTAATAAATAAGCAGTGACAAAAAGATATAACAACAGAGGCATGATATAAAAACAACAAAAACATGATATAAAAACAACAGTGATACAAACAATGACTGATAAAGCGATTAAACTCATTTTAATATCTCCCCGTACACCACATTAAGAGTGAAAACACTTTCAGAGTGCTTGACTAATTTCCCTTGTGCTGAAGTATTTAGAACTTTAACGTCACACGCTCTTCAAACTCTAGAGAAAGCAACATATAACTGACCATGTGTGAAAACGGGTTCAGGAATATGCCTACTCCGTCTAGAGTTTGTTCTTGTGACTTGTTAATAGTCATTACAAATGCTGGCATCACGGGA